AAGTGCACTCCTTTGACGGATCGAACAACTCATATTCGAACATGGCTCGTCGGAGCCAGCAAACTGCGCATCCTAGCGCACAGAACGTGAACTCGGCGCCAGCAACATACGCCAGCGACGGGCGCAGCACGACTGCGCTGAGCTGTGGACGAGAAATCGGCCTGCGGGCCGTGTCTGGATGTGGTGTGTCGGCCTACGCCTTGAGGGCCTTGCTGGACTTGGCCCTGTGCTTCTGGATCGCAACCAGCTCGCTGTAGAAGTCGAGCAGGTTCTTGTATGGCTCGTGGGCGGCCTTCAGCGCCGACCTCGCCTCCTCTGCTGACACCTCCGTGTTCGTCTTCATGATGAGCGCCTCCATTGCATCCTGCGATGGGACGACGGCCTTGCAGAGGCCGACGCCCTTGGCCACGAGGTCACCGCTCGAGAAGCCAGCCGCCGTCAGCTGGCTCGCCACGCGCTTGATCCCCATCGTGACCCGCGTTACGCTGTCGAAGCACTCCTCGAAGCGCGGGTGGGGATGTTATGAGGGGAAGGAGGGTGAAGAGGAGGGTGGTGGGGGAGAAGGGGGAGACGGAGGAGGATGAGACGGGGGAAGAGGCGGAGGAGGAGCAATGGGAGCAATGCAGAGAGCGTGCAAGTGAATCACGAGCACACCTCGAACTACGGACAACGGAACCCGACCATTCTGGGACGAAAGTGGTCGGTTTTGTGCTGGGAGAAGAGAAGGAAGGAGTAGGGGGGGGAGGAGGAGGAGGAGGAGGAGGAGGAGGAGGAGGAGGAGGAGGAGGAGGAGGAGGAGGATGAGGAGGAGGAGGAGGGGGGGGAATGGACTATGAGGAGGGGGAAGGAGTAGGAGGAGCAGGCTACCGAAAAGAATATGAGGATGAGGAGGATGATGACGAGGACGAGGAGGACGAGGAGGAGGAGGGGGAGGTGAGGAGGAGGAGTGGCGATGAGGAACATGTGGCCTGGAGCATCGTCATGTCGTCCTGCGACGCGTGGGCGGCCGTCTGGATGCGCGTCTGCTCGGCCTTGCTGCCGTCCTTGGTCGCGGCGCGGAACCACTTCTCGGAGCCGACCTCATCGCCCAGCTCGGTCATCATCTCAATCATGGCGCTGTTGAAGGTCTTCTCCGAGGACGCGTCCAGCTCGATGGTCCCGTGGAGCTCCCTCGTGCGCTTCTGGCTGCGCTTCACGGAGTGGCTCGTCGTGTACCATTTGCCCGTCTCAGTGTTGAATTCGCATTCTCCAGCGGCCTTGGCTTTCTTGAACAGCTCCTCGTTCCCGTGGTAGACCAGGCCGACGAACGTGTTCTCGAAGTAGCCCTGGGCGGTCTGGGTGTCCTCGTCCTCCCTCGTCTGCTTCAGCACCTTCTTGATGCTGCGCTCCTTGATCGTCAGCCCAGCCTTCCAGTCGCTGGCACGAGCGACGCAGCTGTTGATGATGCTGTTGATCTCCTTCGTCTTGCCAGGGACCTGGCACTCTTTGCTGTTCAGAAAGTCGTAGCGCTCCAGGGTCTTCGGGTCGATGCTGTGGCGATTGAGGTTGAACACGTGCCGTTGGGCACGGCTGACCTGGCGCAAGTCCAGCGTGCCGTCGGGTAGATCTTTCGCATCCGCCCCTTCGTGGACGGACGGCGCGTGGACAGGAGCAGCTGCTGGTTTCTTCATCGGGCCACCCTCGAGGCTCTCCATCCACTGAGCAGGCTTCTTCATCGCGACCTCCTTCGGCGGCATGGCGCCGTCCACTCGAAGCAGCGAGAGCTCAGAGCGCAGGCCAAACGCGCCGCTGACCCACAGAACACTGGGGCCAACGTGGCTACGGGGAAGGGCTGTGAAGAGGAGCACACGTTGGGAGCTAACGCGGGGGAGCGTAGGGGAGCGCATGCGGGCGCATGGGCCAACGGCGCATAGGGGAGCGCAATGGTGCACAGGGGCGTTCACGATTTTTTCAATGTGAATTGATTGACAGATACGGGGCCGACACCGTGGGAGCATAACCGTGAGAGGGGCAGCTTGGACATCCTCGGGCACTGTGGAGAGCTAGATTCGGAGGAGGAGGAGGAGGAGGACGAGGATGACCCAGGCGACGAGGACGAGGGAGCGAGAAGCAGATGATCCCCTTAGCTTTAAGCGCCTGCCCAGGACCCCTAAACGCCCGCCCGCGAACAGGCCGACTGAATGCCGAAATGTGTCATGCTAATCTTGGCCTTGAAAGGACCTCTGGGGTGCCAGAAATGGTGGACCACCGCTAAATGGGACCCCGCATGCCTTCTGCGCGCTGAGGGTAGGCAAGCTGAGGGGATGAGAGGTGGGATGAGGATCTGAAGTGGGATGATGAGGAGGAGGAGAGATGGTGAGCGAGAGGATTCAGGAGGGAGGACGCGGAGGATGAGGAAGTGGGTGATGAGGAATCTGATAAGGGTGAGGAGCAGCAGCAGCCGTAGGACGGGACCTACGCTGAGGGGGGACTGGCTCCTCCGATGTAATCGATTGCCGTGTCGGTTGATCGCGTTTGAAGGTGTCCTGGCCCCCTCCTTCCTTGTCCTAATCTCCCTCCCTCTTCTCCTCCCTCCCTCTCCTCCTCCACCTCCCATTCCCTCTCCGCTTTCGCCTCCTCCTCATCCTCATTCCTCGCCCTCTACCTGGCTCACTGCTCAATGCCTGTCGATGCACGTCCTTTGTTTCTCAGCGGCAACCCCCCATGCCCTGTTGATCGAGAGCAGCGTCGGCCTAAGTCATTGCGCACGTGCCCAATCAATTCAGCGCAGGCACCCTGGCGACGCATCTGACACACGTGCCTGAACCGTACTAGCCCATCCCCCCTCCTTGCACTGCACCCTTCACACTCCCAACACTAATATCCGACTGGAAGCCTCACGGCTTCGATTGCAGCTTGGCCTTTAGCTCCAAGCATTGCGATTTCGACCAATGGTTGTCATTGATCTTGCTAGCAAGGGCCTTCATGTCTGACAAAGCTGTCGGGCCATACTTTGCGGCAAAATCGTGGTCACATGCACGCGCTGCCCAGAGTGTGTGAAAGCAGTCAGCTCGATGCGAGGCGTGGGGCCCTTAGTCGGCCCAGAGAGACATGCCCTAGCGAGGGGTTCAGTGTCATTCGCCCCTGCAGCCTTGGCCTTGGCCTTGGCCTTCATGGGGGTTGCCTTGGCTGGAGTTCCCGATGTGTCACGCCTACCCTTCATCGGCTTAGGCGTGCTCTTCTCCTTGCGCCTCTGCTTGACGCAGTCCTTTCTCCGCTTGCTCTTGGGGTCGAGGGGCGCCTAGGAGCCTGCAGGAATCCCGTCCGTGGTAGGAGCTCTATCCACTTGATCTCGGCCATCGACAGGGGCCACAAGCTCCATCGTGCCGGCATCGCTCATCTCCGCGTCCGTTGAGAGATTCTCGCTGTAGGCGATGGTCGGCGGAACCGATGCAATCGACATAGCAGCAACAGATGAACGTGGCGAGAGGCGCGGCCACCCGTCCGCGTCGGCACCCTTAGTGAACGAGTTGGCTGTCGCACTGCCAGGCCCAGCGGCGCCGCCGCCAGACGGAGCCTGCGAGCCAGAACCCTCGTGAAGATCCAAGAGGTGGTCGCCTAAACTGAAGATGCTCGTGTCGTCGCACTCTTGGATCCTCTTGACCAAGGCCGTCTCCTCGGTGTGATCCTCGATGGCTCTCAGCGAGCGGGGCGGCGTTCGTCAGCTTCATCTGCTCTACCAAATTGTAGACGACAACCTGGTCGGACGCAGACATGTCCCTCCGAAACCGATGCGTCTTTTTCGTATTACTCCTATCTGGGCTCTTCTTGTGACGGTACAGCTCCCCGAGGTTGGCCATGAGGTGTTGAAGGTGGTCAGAAATTTTACTGGCGAAGAGGTCTTGCGGCACTTTGGCAATGGATTGTATCGGCGTGACGATCTTCACACACAGCTCCACCTTGCTGGCTGGCAGGACCCCGTTGTCGAAACCGATAACGATGAGCTTCTCTAGCAGGCCTGCTGCCCTCACGACCGAACCGACAGTAACGTGATGCGGTGCATCCGCGAGCGGGCCGAGCTGACTCTGCAAAGTCTCATGCTTGGTGTATTCACGCAGCACATTGCAGATCGTATCCTCTCCAACGAATCGATTGGCAACTTCTCTGCACGTGCGAGTCATGTTCCAAAACTGGAGCCAAAACAGCTGCGGATGTGCATTGTTTATTGTGTGTCCTCTTGGGTCTCTCTGGGGCTGTGTTGGGGCTCCGCGGGGGCGTCTGGGGCACTGCGAAGACGAAGCAAGCGAGTATGCTGAAAATGCACGTTTCACTGAGGGAACGGGCTGATTTTTGCCTCTTGAAGGCTATCTTGGGGCCCTTTTCGGCCATCTACATGCCCTCCGCTTCGCTGGATCGTGTTCCCTTCCCTGCCCTCCTCCTCTTCTCTCCCTCCTTCCCCCCTCCTCCTCGCTCGTCCTCCTCCTTCCTCCTCCACCGCTTTCCTCTCCCCTCCCTCCTCCTCTTCCTGTTGTTTTCCTTTCGTAGCCATTTTGGCTCACGCCCGAGTGCAAGCAGAGCACACCAGGCCACGCCAAACAAGACAGACGTGGTACGTGAGCATCCATTGGCCGCAGAAAACTAAGCAGGTCCAATCTAAGGGCCCATCAAGGGGCCCATCTAAGGGCCCATCTAAGGGCCAATCTAGGGGCCAATCTAAGGGCCAATCTATGGGCCGATCTATGGTCCAATCTGTGGGCCGCCCATAGATTGGCCCATAGGTCCTTACAATAGACCATAGGTTCGCAGATTGGACCGGAACTTCGTTTTCTACGGGCCCCGGATGCTCAGGGCAGGGGCTGCCCCGCGCGCGCGAACTAGAAATATTATGAAGTAGTTACCGGAGATCTTAGCACGCCTCTGGCCCGTTGGGGCCGGCGAATTTTTCGTCCAAAATCCCCCTGCAGGGGGACAGGCACGACTTAACGCTAGGCACGAGCGGCGTGCGAGCGCGCCGCGGCCAGGCTGGACATGTCGTTCATCCGGAGAAGAGGCGCGCCCCTGCTCGTCCCCGCGGCCCGCCACTCTGAGGGGGGGGGGCGCCCAGTGCTAGCCGAGGAGGAGGATGATGATGATGATGGTGAGGAGGAGGAGGAGGAGGAGGAGGAGGAGGAGGAGGAGGAGGAGGAGGAGGAGGAGGAGGAGGAGGAGGAGCAGGAGGGGAAGGAGGAGGAGGGGGAGGAGGAGGAGGAGGAGCGTCTTCGCCCGGTGGCGTGCGGGAGCATCGAACGCCGTCTCGCCGCCCAAACGGCGTGCGCCGTGTTCCAGGAGGAGATCAAGGCTGCGTGTGGCTCGCACCAGTATGCGGTGAGTAGGCAGGCGGGCTGCGAACTGGTCCACAAGTGCGTGTCTGCGCTGGCTGAATCCCTTCCCTCGGCTGCCGTGCTCGCGTTCGAAGCTTCCAACGCGTTCAACACGATCCCGCGCCAGAATGTCTTCGCCGCCGTGGCCAGGCGTGCTCCTGCTCTCCTCGGCGTGGCCAACGCGTGGTTCACCCGATAAACCACCCACACTTACTGGCCCCGCGACGGCGCGGCGCTGCTGGTGCGGGCGCGGACCGGGGTGGACCAGGGCTGCCCGCTCTCCCCGGGGCGCTCTTCGCCATCGGAATTGCCGATGCCATGTCCCGGGCCGACGCGAGACAGAAGCACCTGCACCCTCGGCTCGCATCTTCTCCTACTTAGATGACGTGGTGGCTGTGGTACCCGCCGGTCTGGCGGCCCAAACGTGCGAGATCGTGCAGGAGGAGCTGACGGCGGCAGGGCTAACGTTGAACCCTGACAAGACGCAGGCGTGGACGCCCGCCCAAGGCACGGCGCGGCCGCAGCAGATGGAGGCGCGCCGGGTCCCCGCCCTCACGGTGCCCGGGAACCCGGTTTCGTGGTACGACCGCGGCGACGACGACGAGGACGGACGACTCCCTGTTCACGGCGCGACCGACGGACGTGAAGTCCTCGACGAGACGCGGCGCTTTCTGCGGCAGTGGCGACAGCTGCGGGACAACAGGCTGACAGCCGAGGGTGCCCACACACTCCTGCGCACATATGCGCAGGGGTGCGCTACTCATTTGCTCCGGGCCAACTATGAGACCGCCTGGGCGGCGCAGCTAGATGACCTTCTGTGGGGCGCCTACGAAGAGTTCGCCGGCTTCGCCTTCGACGCCTACCAGCGCGAGCAGGCCAGACTGGGATTGTCCGACGGGGGCTGCGCCTTCCCGTCAGCACGGGACACGGCTGCGCGCGCGTGCTTGGGCAGCTGGGCCCTCGTCCTCCCCAGCGTAGCCGCTTGCCTCGGGGTCACCTCCCTCGAAGGCTTTCGGTCCAGGTGCCCGCGCGTTGCCCAGGACATGAGGAGCGCGGAAACCGAGCTGGACGCCCGAGGGGCGAAGGAGGGCCCCATTAGCTGGGGGAACTATTTGGCAGAGCCACGAGCCAAGCTACAGGGCTACTGGGGCAAGCGCACTTCCGAGCACAGGCAGAGACGGTTGCTGCAAACCCTTGGCGAAGACGACGCGCCGATCCCTGACGCCCACTTCCACGTGGGCCTGCGCAAGCGCCTCCGGGCTGACGTCTGCGCGCCAGGGGCGGCTTGCCAGCGCCGCAAGCGAGACGGCACGATATGTGGTGCGCCCCTGGACCCCAAGGGCTGGCACCCCTTGAAATGCGGCTGCGGGGGCTCTCGCGACCACCGCCGCAACAGCCTCCGAGACTGGAATGCGCCCTTCCACCAGGCGCAGACGGGCAACATGGCGGTCGCCGAGAAGCGTGTCCCTGCGTGGGACCGCGTGGACCCAGTCACCGGGGAGCTGGAAGAAGCCCGCCTCGACGTGGCTACCCGCGACGCGACCGCCGGACAGCCTATCTATGTTGATTGGTCTGTCACCTGCGCACACTCTGACAAGCTCGAGCGCAGAAGATCCAACAATGACGGGCTGGCCGCGTCGCAGGCGGTGGGCGTCAGACGGAACCGCTATCCCCCCTGTGGCGGCGAGCTGGTCCCAGCTGTCCTGGAGACGGGAGGGCGGCCGGCGGATGAGCTCGTCTCATTTGTCCGCTCGTGCGGAAAATATTTGCCCGAAGCAGAGCGGTCAGCTGTCATCGCCACCGCGTGGCGCCGCATCCAGCGCACGTTGGTTGTGGGCAACGCCGAGATGATTCTCAGTGCGCTCTAAATGACCCACCAGCACTACGACCACCACGGCCACCACGACCACCACGACCACCGCGACCACCACGACCACCACCAGCTGGACCGCCTGGACCGCCACGGCCACGACCACCACTGCCACCACGACCGCCGACGACCGCTACGATCACCGCGAGCACCACGGCCACCCCCAGGCCGGCCGCCAGCGCTCACACCACGACCACCACGACCACCACGGCCACCACGACCACGACGACGACCGGCAGCTCGACCACTACATGCTCGCCCACCACGACCGCGGCTTCCGCGGCCACCCCG